GCGTGGTACTGCGTCAGTGTCTACTGCCACACCGCGCATCATGATTCGTTGGGGCTGCTGACTAGGCATCCTACGTGGAAGACTTTTCTAAATTGCATTTTGACATCCGGTTTCTGATTTTTCTTTCAAAAATACCCCCAGAACCTAAATTTTACCCATTTTTTTCAAAATTATTTTCAATTTCATCCACCATCAAATTTTCTTTATTTTTACACTAAATTAAAATTAAAAAATTATATTTATAATTAATTTAATTTACAATTAAATTAATTTGGGCATTACAACTCTCATCCCCCTAAACAAAATTTGGTCCCTCAAATTTGTCTCTCTCATTCTCAATCAAACAGCTAGGGATATTGGGCTCTGAAGTCAGATTTTAGCTCCCATGTGGCCTATCTCAGTGTGTGATTCTGCTACATGACCTTAACAAAGGAAATTTTTTGGTTGCGGAGTAATATACTCTTTCAGTCCACAATACCGACTGGTACTTTCTCATATGACAGATCCTCCTAAAGTGGAAGAGACTCGCGGGTCAAGACGTGAGAGGGGTTCGGGTTGTACTTGCGGTAGCATGGACACATGAAATACATTATGGACCTTAGAAAGTTCTAGAGGCAGTATCAGTCTGTAGGTGGCGGTACCAATTCTGTCTAAGATTTTAAATGGCCTAATAAACTAGGGATTTAGTTTTTTTCTCTTGCCAAATCTACTGATTCCCTTGAAAGGAGTGATCTTAATGAACACCCGATCGCTTTTCTCAAATTCTAAATCCCTCATCCGGGTGTCCGCATAACTCTTCTGCTTGCTCTGAGCCGTCTGAATATTCTTTCTGATCTTAACTATTTTGGATGTAGTCTCCTCTACGAGATTTAGGCCGAACAGTTTTCTATCACCCACTTCTTCCCAACATATTGGCAATCTGCATGGGCGGCCATACAATGCCTCATATGGAGCCATGTCAATATTTGTTTGGTAGCTGTTGTTGTAGGCGAACTCTATCAGAGGTAGATGGTCATCCTAATAGCCTCCGAAGTCAAGAACACAAGCTCCAAACATATTCTTAAGTGTGCGGATCATCTTTTCTGACTGTCCATCGATCTGAGGGTAGAATGCAATACTAAGGGACAGTTTCGTTCCCATGGCTTGCTGAAGGCTAGACCAAAACTGAGAAGTGAACTTGGGGTCCCTGTCGACACTATCGTCATTGGCACTCGATATAATCTAACTATTTTTCGGATATACATTCTTACCAACTTATCTAAGGGATTGGTTATCCTGATGGCCAAGAAGTGGAAAGACTTGGTAAGTCGGTCAACTATTACTCAGATGGCATCATGTCCTGAGCGTGTTTTAGACAATCCTGTCACAAAATCTATAGTAATATATTCCCACTTCCACTCTGGAATTGGTAATGGCTGAAATAGCCCATCTGGGCGTTGATGCTCTGCCTTGACCTGCTGATATACCAAACATTTAGAAACAAAGTCAGTTATATCTCTTTTCATCCCATTCTACTAAAATCGGGGTCACATACTTTAGTACATCTTAGTGCTTTCGGGATGCATGGTAAACTTTGAGCTATGAGCCTCTGTCATAATATCCTTTTTTAACTCACTGTTACCTGGAACACACACTCTGTCCTGGAATCTGAGCAACCCATCGACAAAGACTCGAAATTCTGAGTTAACTCTCTATTTTGCATCTTTCTCGAGGGCTACTAGGGTGTAGTTGGCGGACTAAGCTTCCTTTATTCTCTGGATTAACTCAGGCTGAACAGTTAGGTGACCCAAACATGTGACTTCTTTAGGTCCTGAAGCCGTACCTGTTGTGCGACCCCTATCTGTCTGTACTTTGAAACCATTAAATGAGCTAATGTACCTGCACTTTTTCTACTAAGTACGTCAGCTACCACGTTACCCTTATCCGGTTGATACAAGATGTCGCAATCATAGTTCTTAAAAAGTTCTATCCACATTCTTTGATGTATGTTGAGATTTTTTTGAGTGAATATGTGTTTTAAACTCTTGTGATTGGTATAGATTTGAAAATTCTCCCCATACAAATAATGGCGCCAAGTCCTCAAGGTGTGGATGATTGTGACAAGTTCTAAATCATGGGTGTAATAGTTTTTCTTATGACTCTTCAATTGTCTGGACTCGTAGGCTATAACATTCTCATGTTGCATCAAAACACAACCCAAACCTAGGTAGGAGGCATCACTGTAAACTGTATATCCACCCGATCTACTCGACAAGGGCAACACAGGTGCAGTAGTCAGCCGCTTCTTTAGTTCTGAAAAACTTCTTTTACAGTCTTCGTTCCACTCAAACTTGACATTCTTCTTTGTGAGCCAAGTAAGAGGAGTAGCTAGACTAGAAAATCCTTCCACAAACCTGCGGTAATAACCTGCCATCCCCAGAAAGTTACAAATCTCCTTAACCATTATCAATTTTTTCCAGCCGAGCACTGTTTTAACTTTTTTGAGCTTCACTGACACTCCATCCTTTGATATGATGTGTCCCAGAAAGGTAGTCTGCTCAAGTTAGAACCCACATTTACTCAACTTTGTATACAACTTT